GCACAGCCTTCTGGTGAGTCTGCACTCCTCCCAGCTTTGTATCATCAGAAAACGGGCTGAGGGTACACTTTGTCCCTTCATCCAAGCCACTGATGAGTAAGTTGAACTAGACTGGCCCCTGCACTAACTCCTGGGAGCACCAGTAACCACAGGCCTCCAGCTGGACTCTGCACCACTGTTCACACCTCCCTGAGCTCTGCCATTCAACTGGTTCCCAACCCACCACGTCTCTCTCTTCTTCATTATTGATTCAGTTTGAATGTGAAGTGGCAGTCATTTATGTGTGATAACCGTACTCTCAGTCTCTTAAGATAATTCTGTACTCATTTTTTAATTGTTTTAATTTAGTTCAGCTATCTCCTCCCCCCACCCCTTTGTGCTGTAAAATAGATTAGAGATTTCACAAGAGAATACAGAATGACATTCTGATAGTACTTTAAAAATAGGAAAAAGCGTTTTGTGCTTCTTCTACAAGCTTGCATGACATTTAAATTCATGTTTGATATTGTCTTTGTTCACAGACTGTGTTTTGAATTGCTGATGTTTATAACTTTTCTTCATAGGAGGACATTTGATTAGTCAATAAAATGTTAGAAAAGCATAAATTTCTAGAAGATACAAAAGCCACTCAACTCCTCCTCCTATATTGCTGAAGGTAAATTTATTCATGTGTGCAAGGGATCCTAAATCTGCTGAAGTAGACTCTTTTTGGGTCCTTACACAATATGTACTTGTTGCCCTTGAGAAAATTACCATGATATGGTAAATCATTGGACACGTGTACAGTTCAAGTTTAGTCAAGGATGAGTCAACTTGTAATTGCTCTTCATATTTTAAAATGCAGATATCTCTATTAAAATGAATGCAGGGACTGGCCTTAATTATGATTTTTTACTGCCTTATTTAACCTGTATTTTTGAGTAGTGTAATTAGTATGAAGATTTTTTTAATTCTTTCTTTATACCCAGTGGCTATATTGTTTTATAAATGCCCCTAAACAAATGTGCAGTGTGGAGAAATTGCAGTATTCCTTGCTAAGCTGATTGTTTTGATTTAGCACCTGCTTAAGCATAAACATGCATGTGGTCCTACCGACCTAAGCAGGTTTTGTCAGGTTTTGTCTCTTCCTGGTGTTGAGATTAATTAACAAACCTGTTTAAGGGTTGTGCTTAGTAACTTAGGTTTCCTGCAGGACATGTAACTAGGTAACTACTCACGGCAGTTCAGCCTACGAGTTCATGGTCTTGGAGCCAGGGACAGCACAGAGGGAAGACTCCTGTGCATTCATCTGAAGAGGCCTGGGAGGTGACCAATCCTACTGGCACAGATGTCCAGACTTCCACTAGAAACTTCTGAGGTTTCCAGGTGAAACCCAGAAAAGCTGAAAGAGCTGGAAATGACTCCTCTATTCCCCGTGTAGTCACATCTGTTACTATATAACATTATGCACCATGCCAGTGACATGTTGGAAAAGGAGTTAGCTAGTCAGGAACTAGGTTATCACGTGGAATGTGTTAAATGAGTGTCACTAATTGGTAGCCTACTAGAAAAATAAACCACAAAACTGCAGTGAGCATTGAGGCTTGTACTCTGCTGTTGCATATAGCTTTCAAAATATACTTGAAAAAGCTATAACCTATTATTGTGTCAAGCAGCTGCACAAGAGAGGAGATTTTACCATTTCAACAACAAACCAAGCAGTATTGATCTTGGAGAAATTTCTAAACTGTCAAGATCCTTAAAAAACAAACTACTGCCTTCACCAAGATTAAAATGAAATCTGTTTACTGAGTACAACGAATGTGACAGAAAGATCAACTTTGTGTGTTGCGTGTTTCTGCTGGTAAATCAATACGTATGCTAGGCCACCACACGTTTTGAAAACCATTATGATAAATAAATAAATAAAAGCACTGACTTACAGTTTTACACTGTCTGTAGAGAGATGTGATTCATCTTGACACAAACAATACATGCAGGATAATGAACAGAAATGACATGCTTGAAAGCACTGAAGAAATCCTGTGATCAAAGGGCTGGACTGGAAGTTAAAAAACTGTGTCCGGGCCTGCTGTCTGACTGGTCTAATGGCAGATTTAACCTTCTGATGACTCGGGTTTTTTATTTGTGAGATTAGGACGACAGAAAGTATTTTGAGACTGTCTGCTACGCAAAATGTTATAAAAATTAATTATGGCTAGAAGGGGTGAATTTTCCATTTATAGTCACATTTATGTGATGAGTCGCCCTGAAGCAATTACTGAATCAGTGGCTTTGGAAAGCAGCCAGGTGAACCGCACCTGGGAAGTTAAAACCGGTTCTGGGTCTGACGTTGCTCTTTGTGCCTTTTTTTTTTTTTTTTCTTAATTAAATTATTTATTCTTTTTAAAGAGCTTGTAAAGCAACCAGCACTGATATAAAGACAAGGTGGAAAATGTAGGAATAGATTAAATGGCAAAACCTGGTTCTTGACCAGCAGAAAGGAAGAGAACGGTATAACAGTGAGGATAAACAGACAGGCTGCCTGGTAGACAGGAAAAGTACCCTGTTTTCTTCAGTTCTGTGCTTTGTACCTCTATGGTCAGCCTTATATATTTTGTAGCCACTAGAGTTCTTACTAAGGAATTTAACAGTTCAGATGTCTACGAGGAGGAAAAATGAAAATAAATTTTTCAAAAAGGAAAAAAGTACTGTTCTTGGAACCTCGAGAAAGAGTCCTAGCCCTCAGAAAATATTCTTCTAGGGTTTGATTTGGACACAGCAAATATTTGCAGGAAACAAAAGGTAAAAAGGAAAGGAAACCATGTAAGTACATAACTATAACTGCTATCGAACTGTTTCAAAACAGGAATTAAGAATTCCCAATACTCCACGAGGACAAGCAAAAAGGATGTGTCTTTATACCACGACCAAAAAGATGAGGGTGTTACTGCCAAAGCGTTCTTGGTTCTTTCGATTTACTTCATGAATATTTAGTATACAGAAATTCAGCTCCCATAGTTTGGAAACAATCTAAGCACTATGGCTGCTCCAATTTTCCCCCTCTATGTTTAAAATAAACTCTTAAACAACTTATGGAAATCTAGTTGGACTTGGGTAAGTTAGCAGGGCTTCTCAGAGCCTATTATGCTCTGCCTTAGCGAGATTGAATCTCTGTTGAGACCAGTTCTTGTTGAAATTAACGTTTGGAAGCTGGAGCATTTAACCTTTGTTATTTTATTTCTATGAAAATGTCACTTTACCCTTAATCCATAAATAAATCTTAGTTTATCATCTACCAAACTGCCTAAGCAGAAGCAGAGGTCACCATGTATCGCATGCTTGATCGGGTGGAGTGATACCGTGCTACTATGGTAATACAGACTTATAGGGCTGAACAATGTATAAAGGTGAGTGTGCTTAAAGAAATCTATCTTTCAAAGCATTTCACTTCCAAAATATCCTTACCTTTAAAAAAGAAAAAGTGGAGTGGGCTAATGGAAGAAACAGGTAGGTCCAATCAGGTGAGATGGAGAAAGGAATTTTAAGAAAGCGGTGAGTCAATGTACATAAAAGGCACAAAATCATAGGGAAGAGGGTTATAAAACCTGAAACAGTCTTTTTAGAGAACAGATTTAAACAAAGGCATTCTACCACTAGAAATGTACTCAAGCTATAACATTTAGATCTGGAAATTATGGCATTTGAAATTTGATTCGAATGCTGATCTTCTGACCTTTTTAATCCTCGATAGAAAAAGGCTCTTAATGTAGAATAACATATTTACACTAATAGCACCAACCCATAAACTTTACATTTTCATTTAAAATACAACAGAAGGAACATTTTTTTTATTGAGCAACAGAAATAATTGGAATAGAAACAATAGTGCAGTTACATAGTGAAGTCATGCAAAACATTTTGGTGACAAGAAGACAGCAATTCTTGGTAAAAGACCCATTCACAAGTAGATGGTCGTGGGTGACAGCATGGGAAGTCTAACAATGCACAGCACTTTTGGAGAGGAACACACATGAAATTCATGAGAACTAAACCTGTAGAACTAACTGCTTCCCTCATGGCACAGTACATTTTGAGCACAAATTGTTTCTCTTTCCCCTGACGTGGGTCTATTTAGAGTAACAACTCATTGGGGAAGTGACCAACCATTACTCTATTTACATAGTTCTTGTGTGTTCAGCAAACTCAATAAAGCTGTTTTTACAGAAGAACTTCTTGTTTTGCGTTTCCTTCGTGGGAAGATCACAGACTATGACAGGAGGCAGGTTCTCATAGGAATATTAGGGGGAGCATCAAAATATTTCTGAAAAGGATTGGACAATATTTTTTCTTGGTTAGTAAAATCTTGTGGTATAGACAACAGGGTTTTCAGCATAAAACAAGGGGAAGAGAAAGGAAGGAAAGAATATAACTGTTCTGTAGAAAGAAAGAATATAACTGTTCTGGAGAAGGACAGAATGTAACTGTTCTGTACTGCTCAGGGCAAAGGCGATCTTTGTTGGGATGTTCAAACCAGCCATACAAACCAGGTGCCCCGAGGGACCGCAAGCGGTACCGAACCGCACCCGGCTGGACCCGGGGAGCCGAGCGAGGTGCTGAGCAGGAACGGGCCCTGCGGGGCACGGGCAAACAAAAGGGAAAGGAAGGGAGGTGTTACGAAGGCTGGCAAGCAAATTAAAGACAAAAAAACCCCAAACGCAGCCGATAACCCCGGAGCCCGATTAGGATCAGCCGCTTGCCCGGGGACTGGCTGGGCGGCGCCGCCGCAGCTGCCGGCCCCGCATTCCTTCACGCCCGGGGCCGCTCTCCCGCTCCAGCCCCGAGGAGATTTGGTTAATCCCCTCCCCGGCAGACCCCGGCGGGCGGGGTGGCTCCGAGGGGCACCGGGGGTGCCGGGGGGCCGGGCGGGCAGGTGAGGGGCCCGGCGGGGGGCGGAGGGCAGGGCCGGGCCCGGCCCCGCCCGCTCTCCCAGCCTGCTCCGCGCCGCCGCCGGGGGAGGTGGAGCCGCTTTATCGGGAGCCCAAGTGGAAATTTCCCCCTCAGTTGCCGGCACCGCCGCGGAGGAGACGCCAGCGAGATCCGCCCGTCCTTGTCGCGCCGCGTCCCGCCCCGCCGTCATGTCCAACTACATCCACGTCCCGCCCGGCTCGCCGGAGGTGCCCAAGCTGGACATCACGGTCAGCGAGCAGGAGGGGCCCGGGTACCGCCAGGGCGCCCTGCAGCTCCTGCGCCGGCTGCGCCCGCACTGGAGACCCGAGGAGGTGACGCTGCAGGTACGGCGGGGCCCGCGGGGGATGCGGCGGCCCCGGGCCGGGCGGGGAGCGGGGCGGCAGAGGAAGGAAGGGGGGAGGGCGGGCGGCCATTGTGCGGGGGAGCTGCCGCCTCGCTTCCTCCCCCGCCCTCCCTCCCCCGCTCTCCGCCGCAGCCCCCTGCGCGGAGCCCCATTTGCCAGGCGGCCCGGCGGCGGGGCGGGGCGGCCGGGCAGCATCCCCGGCCCCCTCCTTCCCTCCTGCCTTCCCGGCGCTCCTCCTTCCCACCGCCCGCTCCCCTCTGCCTCCTCCCGTGCCCTCCGCGCTGGAAACTCGGCTGCCCGCGTTAGCTCTGGCACTGGGAGGGAAGGGGAAGGGGAGGTGTCCCCGAGCGTCGCCCTCGCCGTGCCCCCGTTTGTGAAGCGGTCGGGGACCTCCCTCCTCCCCGGGGCAGAGGAGGGATCAGGCCTCCCGAGAAGGAGGATGGAGGGGAGCGCTCCCCGGGCGCCATGGGTAGCGGAGCCCTTGTTGGGCTATTCCTTGTCGGGCTCTCCCCGTAATCAATAAATATAATGAGTATGTGTCATGTGTTCTCAGCAGGGTTGGGTTTTAGGCTGACGGTGTCTCGGTACGCACCAGCCCCGCTAAGGTCATTGCTCGCTTTTCTTAGCAGAGGTACCGCCGCTTAAGTCTGTGGTGTTCTCTAGGTGAGCAATCGTTTGTATTTATGACGAGTCATCTGCCGGAGGATTGGTTGCTTTTGTGCTTCTAGAATATACTTTAACTGGCCCCAGACAAGTCCTCAGCCAGTCTACTTGGCTGAAATAGCAGTTCAGTTGCAGCCTGTGGTTAGTTGAGCATTTTATTATACGGTCTTAAACTGCGTTATTCAGCAGTTATTGTGGGGAGGTGTCTTATTTCAGTGAAGTTCCTCTGAAGAGAGCTGCTGAACTAATTTATATAGAAATTTGAGCGTGTTAATGTAATGGCACATAATGTGGCTGAAATTTTCTCAAGTGTCTTGAAAGGAAAATAAAACCTGACGCATGCCAGTGCAATTAGTATGAAAATAAAGCTAATGAGCTTTTTCTAAATAAGTTCCTTGGGGTCAGTGGCCGTAAGTTACGCACAGTTACAGCGTCTCGAGGTGCAATGAAAGTAGCTTTGCAACATAAAATGCTAAATAAGGTTGTTAGAGTTCATAGAATATCTCGAGTTGGAAGGGGCCCATAAGGATAATCCAACTCCTTGCAGGAATACTTAAACGTGTTTTTACTTTTTTAGCTCTCTGATGAGGGCAGTTCTCAACAGAATATTTGTTTTCCTTTCATGCAGGAATGCTAATAAATGAAATCGAAATATTTTCCTATTAAGGAGGGATTACAAACCTTTGGGGAAAGTTCTAGTAGGCTTAAGGAAAAAAAAAAATGCTACTTCCTCTTTCTGTCACCCCCTTTGCAAGAAGAAATTAACAATAAAATCCACCAGTACCATTGGTGTGGAACAGGGAGGGACTCATTTGATTGGTCATGCAGTAGATTACTGTCTGTGGTTAGAGGTTTCTGTCTAAAAAACTTTAAGACCAAAACTTTTCAACTCACTGTTTTTCCTTTTGGCCAGCGGAAGAAAGTTCTATTCACAAAGCCCTTCAGTGGCCTTTTATTTTTAACTCTTTAGTTTGCATTTAAGCTGCTGTGAGTACTTAAACAAGAATGCCTGTGATTTGAAACTGGTTCTGTTGCCATCACTGCTGCTGGAACACATACATGTTGCATATGCATCGCATACAGAAACATGTTGAACTGGAAAATGGCTGGTCTTGTGAAGAGGATGGAGTGAACAGAAGGATGCCTTGGAGTCCTCTCTCTAGAGGCACGTGTTTAGGAGGGAGATGAAAACGAGACTCATGTTGCATAGAGAGCGTGCCTAATCTCAAACAGCAAAGTGGACAGACAACAGTGATAGGTGGAAAGAACCACTACTTCCCCTGGTGAACTCTGCCATTAGCCACCTTTGGTCTTACTAATTGTTCTGACCCAAGAATTAGGAAGTTGAAGAGTCCAGAGTTTGACTTGAAAAAGTTAATTAACTTCTCTTGTAAAAATTTACTGTTGCGTGTTAATTGTTTAGTCAGCTGAACAATTCTGAAACAGTGCAGTTAAAAAATGTTAATGCTTAGTCCCCACTTTCCTCTAAGATTTATAAGTAATTAATATCGGGAATATATTTTAACATGTAAAATTTTTTTTTCTTTGCACCATAGCATAGAACATAAGTTTAGGATGGAGGATGAAAATAAAGTCTTCAGTGCTTAAATTATTCTTTTATTGCAGTATTTGTCAGAAAGTTTATGATATCCAGAAGCTTTGCTGAGTTGGAAACAGCTATACTGTAATCTATCTTCTCTATCTCAAGTTATATGTAAATTTTTTTCCTACTACAACAAAAGAATAATTTTATCCCTACAGTCACAGTACAAATATTCAAGTTATTATGCTTTGGTAAGGAGAAACCAATTTCTTTTGTCTCGAATTCATCTTCATTTAGGTACTTAGTGCAGAGGTCACCTGAAGATGTACTAGGAACTGTGTAGAACTTGTAATATTTTCTAACTCATAAATTCCTATTTTTTCTGCTTTTTGCAGTAGTCACTTTTGATTCTGGAATGTCTCTTTCATAATAACATTTTTCAGGAGTCCAGGTTGGAAGGAATCTCTGGAGGCCTCTCTCCCAGCCTCCTGCTGAAAAACCCACTGCTTGCTAAATTCAGAAACAGGCTGTGTGTGAACATGAGAAACAATTTTTATGTTTTGAACAATTTTTATTAATGAAATATAAAATCTTAGTTATTTTAACTCTCTTTACTGTTTTAAAGAGGTTGTATCACCCTTCCTAATGTAAAAATACAGTCCTAGGTTGGAATCTGTTGCCCACCTCAAGAATTTTTAATCTTTCCTCTTCTGTAGAGATTCATTTGTGTTAGTATTTTAAGAAGGATCAGTGTTTCTTTACACTAGGGAAGGTTAGTTACTGCTGCACTAAGTGCAGATTTAGGATTCTTTTATCCCATGACCTGTTCTACCTCTTGTAGGTCTGGTTGCAATGAAAGATTCAGTAGGTTGATACATCATTTCCTCTCTGCAGTGTAGTGTTGTGATGCAGGAAAACTGCTTTCTGTTTCTTACCATTCTGAAGTAATATTTAATAGAGAGAAAAAAGGCTACCTGCTTTAATTGGTGAAAAGACTTAATATTATTAATGCTAATTTCTACCACTATTTTGGGTAGACCAGCATGATATGTATGGAAAAAAAAATCAGCTGAAAAGTAATTGAAAGATCTAAAATGATAAAAATGTTAGGCTGACAAACAGTGCTCTTGTCCTGGCTGAAACCTGAGGAGAGGTGGAAAAAAATCTGTTTTCCAAATGGGATCAAATTCTTCAATAAGACACTCCACAACCCTCCCTCTACAAATTCTGCAAGCAGCTATCCAAATAATTGTGTTTAGGTTTGCTTTTTTAATTCTCTGACATAATTGGACTTTGTTTGTTTTCTGGTACTGTCTGTTTTGCAAGATGTATATGTCTTTGCACTTATCAAGACTTTGCATGACTTTACTACTGTAACATTTTATAATTCTTTGCAAAGATTTGTTCCTGGGGCTATTAAATGTGAACACAGAGGACAGAGCCATGCTTATAAAAAATTGTCCTTCAACCAGCAAAACAACCACCCCCCTATTTTTATATATACCAGATTAGTCTTTGTCCTTGTCTCTTAGTTGCTTCTTTTTGACTTGCACTCAATAGTTTTCCTTTAGGCAGTATTTTCTGGCTGCTACTCTAATTAATTTGCTTGTGTTGGTCTTGATATTCTCTTTATAACAAACAATTATTTGGTTCAGATTTCTGAGCTAGGTGCAGTATCTTGCAGTTTATTTAAACAGGCTGAGCGTGGGATTTTAAAGCATCAAAATAATTGAAACAGAAAATGTTAGTCTCTGGGAAAGTAAGTAAACTATTTATTTTGTATCTCAGTGTTGTTACATTTTTTCAAGAGAAATGATCACTGCTTAGCTGGTTTTGGCCCATCATGCTCTTCAGCAATTGGGAAAATAGTAGCCGTGTAAAGAGGAAGGACTGAGTTCACAGAGAGACATACTGAAGTGCCAATACCTTTAAATGGAGAAGTGATGAGTGAAGGGAAGAATAAGAAAAGTTAGAGTTGCAGAATGGGCTGCATTGCTGATGTCTTGTGGAAAAACTGTAATTTGAGGTGTGCCTTGAATGCAACGTCCCAGCGGGAAATGCAGCCAGTATTGGATGTCTTCTGAGGCTGGATTGGTTTCTCCATTCTTTTTAAGCTTCTGATGAAGGTTGATAATGATAATCTCTTGTTTTAAAGGGTTTTTATGGTATCTGGGTGGGGCAGAAATTGTGGTGACGTTTCATGTAATTGATGTGCTGTATCACAGTGCGTGGTGTAATCCAGCTGTGCATGATTCAGGTGTATCTGTTGATGGCTGTGGTTCTGATCACAGAGAATCAATGTTTGTTTAGGCACAGCTTGGCTATGTCTATGGAAAGGCATCTCACTTAGGTATAGACCTGTAACATTGGATAGGAAGGGAGCTATCTGAGATGATGCAGTCCCTGTTTTTCTCCTCTATGCTGGTACATGGCCATTTCACATTAAAATACTGCAGGGGGAGGAACAGCAAATTAATGTTTGAGTAATTCAAATAGAATCCTTCTCTATTACTTTTTAAAGAATTACTGTAATGTATCTGTACTTGTTTCCATCACTATCACAAAATTTGTAAAAAGATCTTTTTACACTTTAATAATCACTTTAAAATTGTTAACTAGTTAGCTAATGTTGACTCTTTTTGGAGGGGAGTATATTTTTCAGAAACACAATAAAAAATATGTAACTTTTCTGTAGTGATTTTTTTTTCCCCCTGACATTTAAAAAAAATAAAGCCTTCACATCTTGTCATGCATTTAGATCAGAATCAGCCCTT